CTGCTGAACAGGAGTTCAATGAAGTCAGCTGAAACGACACCATATGAGATATGGACGGAAAAGCGTCCCGCGTTGTCGTTTGTCAGAATTTAGGGTTGCGACGCTTACGTAAAGCGTCAGATGACTGATAAGTTATCCTCCAAATCTGATAAGTGTTTATTTGTGGGTTACCCTAAGAAAACTAAGGGTTACTATTTCTACATTCCGGCAGAGAAAAAGGTGTTCATTGCCAGGAATGCGACTTTTATGGAGCGAGAGTTCGTCTCCAAAAGAGTCAGTGGGAGTAGGATCGAACTTGAGGAAGTTCGAGAGCAGCAAGTAGACGCTGAGCCGAGTGAATAAGTTGAAGAAGTTCAACCTGTTTCACTGTCGGTTGTGACTCAACCTTCGATGAGTGAACCTCGGAGATCAGACAGGATTCGCCAAGAACCTGTGAGCTACGGATTTCTCGTGACTGGGAATGAGGAGCTCATTGTTGGGATTCTTGGGATCTCTAGAGCGAATCCTATTCCTAAGAGATCGATTCTAGGGTTTGCGCAGCGGATATAAAACAAAAATTTAATAAACCCTAGAACCATGCTTCTATGAATCGTAGAAACGTTAGAACGCTTACCTCAATCGATCCGGGGCCTGTATCAATAGAAGAACTCGTCTGATCATGAAAGGCAGGAAGAATACCTCGCCCTCTATACGTATCTACACCTCGGGATGGATTCCAACGATTGGAACTTGTCTGCTAGGACTCGAATCAGCTATTCGGTTTTGTGCTTTGAGAAAACGAGACTTGGAATTCCTTGAACTCTTTGGATCTCACCAAAAGCTCTAAGAATCCTGCCAAAAGTCGACCCTCAAGTCTCTTATGTCATTAGGGGTTTTAATCTCCTTCTTATAAGGTGATTTAACCCTAATTCGGTTTAATTTCGGAAAAACTGAATCCCGGAACGGACGGTCCAGAAATCCCCGCGGCCCGTCCGTTCCAGCAAGCAGAACGGACGGTCTGCATTCAACATGGACCGTCCGTTCCAGCACGTAGAACGGACGGTCTGTGAGCATTCTTGGACCGTCGGGTCTGGCACGGTGGACCGTTCGTTCCGGACTTCTGGTCAGTCCGTTCCAGACCCTTCCGTCTTGGTTTTCCCGTCGTTTTCTCGTGCGTTTTGTCCTTCCCTGTGTGTGTGATCTTGTAGGCTCATTCGATATAGCAGCATAGCCCGAAATCTATATTCCGGATATACAAGTCATAGGCGGTCTCTAGCAAGACACTATGACTACCTATCTCGAATAGAGTTTGTTCGTGATCTTTACGAACGCCAGAGATGATTCCGGTTGATGATCCTCTTGTATCACGATATCATATGTCGAACATAAGGCATGGACAAGCCACCTTATCTGATTCGACTGCTTTCTCGTTCATTGAGTTTGTCTGTCTGAAATAGACGACGTTCGTCTATAGTGCGGCCACACATTTCTACAGTCTTGCTCACATGAGGGGCCCAGCGATATCTCTCTCTTTTACGAGAGGTACAAATCCCATCTTGACTATCTACAATCCAGTACATGATTCGTTTCGTACCTGAAACACGCCTTTATAGTCCTCCTGTTACGCAGGACGTTTGACGTATTCAAGGCACGCAACTCCTCATGTTGGATTCCGTAGATATCTCAGGTCTTAGGATCCAATCATGGAACCGCCATATGAGATTCAAGTCATGACGCTAGTCCATGTGACAATCTCATGCAGGTCAATCCAATATTCCGTTCTCCAAGGAATACCTATGACTGTGATTGTATCCAATACCTATGATCAACGCTATGATCATCAATCACACATCATACTAGTCTTATCTGCTTGAACGAAGGCGCTGTTAGCTGGAAGAGTTCCAAGCAAGCAACCGTTGCAGATTCTACTACAGAAGCTGAGTATATTGCTGCGTCGGACGCAACAAAGGAAGTTGTTTGGATTAGAAAATTTGTTGGCGACTTGGGTGTCATTCCTAGTGCTGATAGCCCCATTGCTCTGTATTGTGACAACAATAGAGCAATCACACAAGCGAAAGAACCCAGATCCTGAGAGATGATGTGTGATTGATGATCATATAGATGATCATAGGTATTGGATACGATCACAATCATAGGGTCACACGTATGACCAGATATGGACCGATCGGTCCAGACGTAAAATAAGCTCCAGACCGATCGGTCCAGACGTCGAAATTTCCTAAACTCGCTCTAATTAGGGTTTTAAGTGGGATTAACTTTAGGAAACACCTTCCAAGCCTCTTGGACGACTTTCAGACCCTATTGAGAGGTTTTGAGAGTGAAAAACATAAGAGTTAGATCCTTGAAACCCTTGCGCAAAGAAGAACGTGTTCTTCAGTCCTAGTTTTAGACAAGTTCCAACCGTTGGAATCCTTTCCATCGTGTGGATACGTGTAGAGGGCAAGGTATTCTTCCTGCCTATAGTGATCGGATGAACACATCAATTGATACAGGCCCCAGATCGATTGAGGTAAGCGTTCTAACATTTCTACAAGATCATGCATGATAGGTTTTAGGGTTTTTATCAAATTTTTGTTTTACATCCGCTGCGCAAACCCTAGAACTGATCTCTTAGGAATTAGATTCGCTCATGAGATCCCAGGAAACCCAACATCTATAACTAAAAGCACTGTAAGTTTGAGTTTCACCAATGCTATGGATTGTTTCTAAAATATTTCACTAACTACGACCGTGATTGTATTACGAACATAATGAAAAAACGACTAGATAATTAACGATAACTACGACCATTGAACAGAATACAAATGCGACCAGATAATTAACGGTAACAACGACCATATCCATTTACCTATTCTCTCGATCCTTTTGCTGGTTGGACCAGATCTTCTCGTCTATATCTCTCTGCGATTATGTGATAATCTTTCTTTTAGAAATCAGTGCATTTTGAGTTTTGTACTTATGTTTTCTCTAATATTTTCTCTATTTTCTCTATTTCTTACAGTTTATCTCATCTAATCAAATGTTCTTTTATTTTTCTGTGGTATTCATATGATCATTTTTTTTCTGCACACAAGGTATTTGATGAAATTTCTGAAACAGAAAACGACGGCAGGTTCCATTATGTGACTTGCAGTCTACGGCAGGTCACTTGCGACATGCGGTAGGTCATCTGCGATATGCAACAGGTGACCTGCTGACCTGCTGACTTGATGACTGCTGACCTGCAAGCGTTTTTTTATGAAACCCATGCAAATATTTTTCTATACTTATATAAGAAAATAAAATATATATAAGTATTTTTTTATGTATGTGGAGGAAAACGAAGTTTATACAAGTGTTTTTTTATAAATGAAGGAAATCTGCAGATTGTAATAATATAAAAAGGTGTAATGGTCATTTTAAAATAAAAAATATAGAATACAAAGATTACAATAGTAGAAATATAGAATGTAAAAAAAAAAAATTGGTATATTTATGCAAATTTTCCATTTTTAGATGAAATGATTTTTTGGAAAGAAAAAAAGAAAGTAAAAAAACCCTTTCTTTTTTAGCCTATTCGTAATTTCTCCGCTCTTTTCGTTCAACCTACAAACACCCAACCCCCCTTCCCCAAAAAAATCTTCCCATATAAATGTCACTCTTCTCCATTTCTCCTCTCTCCAGATTTCGTCTTCTCCTTCCTTCGTCTCTTCCGTTTTCCTTCAACCACTCTCTTCAGCTTCGTCAGCGAATCCAGATCGCAGCTTTATCCTCTATGCCTCACGGTCCTAATTTCCGGGGCGGCGGCCGCCGTGGTGGACGAGGTGGCGGCAGAGGAGGACGCGGCGGCGGCGGAGGTGGCGGTGGAGGCCGTGGGGAGCAGCGTTGGTGGGATCCCGTGTGGAGAGCTGAGCGGTTGCGGCAGAAACAAGTTGAGGTTTGTCAGATTTTTGTTTTTCCCGATTTGTTTCTCCGCTTTTGTTTTCGACTATTGTTGTAAGGATTGTTTGGCTGACGGGGAATAGCTAGAGCGTGTTAGGGAAGCTGAATATGGGTTGGTAATTGAAACTTTCGTTAGATTGACAATCTAGAGTTGGTTGAACTCTGGTTTGGGAGTTTCTACAAAATTTGAAGCCAAAAGCATCACTCCCTGGTGTTTGTACTGTGTTAATGAGATTTAGTTCCTCACTAGTATTTGGTTTAATTGTCCTCGAATCATCTGTATTGCTTTCAATGGATGATAAACAGAGCGTACATGATTAGGGCAAATGTCTGCAGTTGGAGATGATTTTTTAGACAAGGTAATGATATGAACATTGATTTGAAGAGCTTAGTGTCAGGCATCACGAGTTTGTTTATTTTTTGAACTATCTTAACATGACAATTGTAGTTATACAGTTGAGTTTCTGAGGTTAATAGGAATACAATTGATCTCAGATGGAAGTTCTTGATGAGAATGAATGGTGGAATAAGATTGAGCTGATGAAAAGAGGAGGGGAGCACGAGATGATAATAAAGCGGAATTTCAGTCGGAACGATCAGCAAACACTATCTGACATGGCTTATCAAATGGGACTTTACTTGTAAGCTTTCATATCTTCGCTGGATTTTCCTCGATCAAATTGAAGATGCAATTTGTATGATTTTCTTGTGATCCATTATTTTGTATACTGAGAAATGAGATGGAGTAAGGCTATGTGATTAGGTTCTTGGAACATATGCTTTGAATTTATCTCTAAAGACCTTGCAGTTGTTTATAGTATTGATATTATGGTTTGTTTGCATGGCGAAACAATCTTATGACATGCTGTTATGATTTTTTACTCTGTGCAAAGAAAGCCATGCGTACAATAAAGGGAAAACTCTTGTGGTTAGCAAAGTTCCTCTGCCAGATTATAGAGCAGATCTTGATGAACGCCATGGATCTACACAGAAAGAGGTACTAAAAACAAAACTCTTAGGCTAGTTTCAGGTCCAAATAAGCTGCTGAGATATCTTTACCTCTTTTCAATTCATGTAGATACGAATGTCAACGGAAACAGAGAGAAAACTTGGAAGTCTGTTGAACAAAACACAAGAATCAAGGTCTTCATATTGCTCTAGTTCGGCAGCTAATCAACAGGATTTGACATCATCACCTGTCATAAAACCAATTGATTCTTCTTCAAAATTACTAGATCTTTCTGAGAAAGAGAAATTAAGTGTCACATTCAAGGAAAGGCAGGAAAGACTAAAGGTACATAAGGCTAACACTATTTTTTTTAATTGTAGTGCAAGAAGGTATCTAGGCTTTAAAAACCGATAGCTAATTTAATCTATAACTGATGTTACCCATTAAACACAGGCAAGTGACAGTATTAAAGCACTTCAAGCTTTCCGAGAAAAGCTGCCTGCTTTTAAAATGAGAGACAAGTTTCTTAAAGCTGTTTCAGAAAATCAGGTAATCTCTGCTAAGAGTCTCTTCCCATGGTTCACTTTATTCTTGTCCTATCAAGGAAGAGTTGCCTGCTTTTTTGGTGTACAGTATTGAGCTTGCACTAATTCTTATGTCATGTGTTGTTCTTCAATTTAGGTGTTGGTAGTTTCTGGAGAGACAGGATGTGGTAAAACTACCCAACTGCCTCAATTTATATTGGAAGAAGAGATATCATCTCTTAGAGGTGCTGATTGCAACATTATTTGCACCCAACCTCGGCGTATATCTGCCATATCTGTTTCATCTCGTATTTCTGCTGAAAGGGGAGAGTCCTTGGGTGAATCTGTGGGTTACCAGATTCGTCTTGAATCAAAGCACTCTGATCAAACACGATTGCTGTTTTGCACCACTGGTGTATTGCTTCGGAAGCTGGTAAGTTATGATTGTTGTATTGCTTGTTGGCTCGTCAAGTTGAACCATCTTGATTTCTGACGTTTATAACTTCTCAACTCTTGAAATGCTCTTCTTTTGATTCTATTGTTAAAATTGCAGGTCCAGGATCCTAATCTAACTGGCATAAGCCATTTGCTGGTTGATGAAATTCATGAAAGAGGCATGAATGAAGATTTTCTGCTAATTATACTGCATGATCTCCTTCCTCGACGCCCGGATTTGCGTCTTATCCTGATGAGTGCAACCATTAATGCTGACATGTTCTCAACTTATTTTGGGAACGCTCCAACTATGCACATTCCGGTATGACTGAAAATATATGGAAGTTCATGCTTATTTGTCTGTTGGTTTACGTCTTTACTATTTCAATGACACACATTTCTTTTCAATTTATTGCCAGGGTTTCACATTTCCTGTTTCTGAGTTTTTCTTAGAAGATGTACTGGAGAAAACTCGCTATAGCATCAAGTCAGACTGTGACAGTTATCAAGGTAGCTCGAGAAGAAGAAGCAGAGATTCGGACTCAAAGAAAGATGAACTGACTAATATGTTTGAGGTATGTTTATATTTCATCAGTGGTAGCTGTTGGGGAAAAATATTGGTGCTCAAAATAGATAGCGTTATATGGGAAGTCTGGTACGCAAAACATTCTGCTGATGCTGAGCGGGGTCTGGGGAAGGGTCCCACCACAAAGGTCTAGTGTAGAAAACCTTACCTTGTAGCAATTATATATATTGATATCCTGAGTCCTTACCCAGGGGTTTTTCAAGTTGTTAAACTTGCATGAAAATAAAAGGCCAAGCCATATTATTTCGAGAGTACTAAGATGGTAATCCTATAGAGAAATGAGAACAATTAGTCTTATGGTTCTGTGCTCTTTATCACAATGATATGATATGAGGACTTAGGATCTAAGTGTGCAAGGAGAGTAAACTCTGTCTGTGACACAATTACTGTAAGTCTTGTAGTCTTGTTGCTTCAGTCAAACCGTAAGTTGTTTAGATGTCTATTTTGGCATATGGTTCCACTGACTAACACCCGCTGCTCACAGATGTGGGTTCCTTTAATGCTTAACCAGGAAAAGATAGTGAATGAATTCATATGCCAAGACAATTACTACACATAATCTTTGGTTTCTATTACTTTGGTTGACGATTGAGGCGTCCTAAACCTAGAGCATTGTTCCTTCGATTGACAATGGGTTTCCTAGAACTCGCCCTTTTTCAAAAGTAGTTAAGAAGAATGCAGAATGTTAGGACTTCTGATGTTATTTTTTCTCTAAAAATCCTTTTCAGATTTATTTATCTTCTTCAAAGTTTGAACGCATTAGAGAATATGCATCGGTTAATCCTAAAAAGATTGAAATATCTTATGCACAAGTGGCTTTTTTCATTTTTGTAGGATCTTGACATTAACTCTCACTACAAAAATTACAGTTCATCCACTAGACACTCTCTTGAAGCTTGGTCTGGCGCACAGATCGATCTGGGTCTGGTATGCTTCCCTGAGATTTTTCATTTTACTCTTACTTCCCCATCAGAAATAAAGCTAGTTTTCAGTTTTATACTGTCTGCAGATCGCAAGTCTTATTATGATGCCATCCTTTAAACTTCTTCACAGGTGGAGGCAACTATTGAACATATTTGCCGTCGTGAAGGTGATGGAGCAATTCTTGTCTTCCTCACTGGGTGGGATGAAATCTCCAAGTTGCTTGACAATGTCAAACGAAACATCTTTCTTGGTGATTCAAACAAGTTCTTAGTTCTTCCTCTACACGGTTCAATGCCAACCGTCAACCAGCATGAAATTTTTGACCACCCACCTCCTAACAAGCGGTTAGCCCTTTGCAGTTTGCACTATGGATTCTTCACGGATCTTGCCCTTGTCCTTGGTTCCTTTTTTGATCATTCATTCTAGCGATTATTTCGAATTGAATAAACCCCTTTTTCGCAGGAAAATAGTTTTGGCTACTAACATTGCTGAGAGTAGCATTACGATCGATGATGTTGTATATGTTATTGACTGTGGTAAAGCAAAGGAAACTAGCTACGATGCTTTAAACAAGGTTGCCTGTCTCTTACCATCATGGATTTCAAAGGCTTCGGCTCACCAGGTATCTGAAAACATCATGAATGTCCGAAATCAACAATCAAAGATCGTTTTCTATCATCAATCGAAATATTTTAGTCAAACTGATTTTTAGAATCCTAACTTTCTTTTCTCTCTTAAACTCTGATGCACTTACAGAGACGGGGCCGTGCTGGACGTGTCCAACCCGGAGTTTGTTTCAGGTTGTATCCGAAAGTTATCCATGAGGCACTGCCCCAGTTTCAGCTACCAGAAATCATCCGAACTCCCTTGCAAGAGTTATGCCTCCATATCAAAAGCTTGCAGGTTGGCGATATCGGATCCTTTTTGGCAAAGGCACTTCAGCCGCCTGATCCTCTTGCTGTTAAAAACGCTATTGAGCTTCTCAAAACAGTCGGGGCTTTAGATGATGTGGAAGAGCTAACTCCACTCGGTGAGCAGAATTCTGTTGATATAATTTCAAAAAAGAAAAACGAAACAGAAAAAAGAAAAGAAGAATGTTACCATCATTAATTTTTACTTTTACAGGTCGACATCTCTGCACGCTACCTGTGGACCCAAATATTGGAAAGATGCTTCTGATCGGAGCTATCTTCCGTTGCCTCAATCCTGCTTTGACGATTGCGGCCGCAATGGCCTATCGCAGCCCATTTATCCTTCCATTAAGTAGGAAAGAAGAAGCCGATGAAGCCAAAAGATCTTTCGCTGGTGATTCGTGCAGGTTGGGCCTTATCAAATTACCATACTTTTTCAGTCAATTGGGTATTGGATCTTACCAAAAATTTTGATCTCTTTTTGGTATAGTGATCACATTGCGCTCCTTAAGGCTTTCGAGGGATATAGGGATGCGAAGCGCGAGGGGTGTGAACGAGATTATTGTTGGCAGAACTTCCTTTCCCCAATGACGTTACGGATGATGGAGGATATGAGAAACCAGTTTCTGGATCTTCTTTCGGATATTGGTTTTGTCGACAAATCCTGCGGTTCAAATGTAAGTTTCGAGAATTAGTTCCAACTTATATGATATCTATCAACGATACATAAAACTTGTATGTGTACATATATGTATGTGTGTATATATATATTATATGTATATGTGTATATATGTAGATTTATGTATGTATATATATGGATATTCATGTACCCGCATACATACATAAGCTTGGAGAAATAGTTCCAACTTATATGATATCTACCAAACACCACAAAAACTTGTATATGTATGTGATATGTATGCACATATGTATATGAGTGTATGTATGTATATTTGTCTGGTTATGTATATATGTATGTGTGTATATGTGTGTATGTGTGTATATATGTATATATATATATACATACACACATATATATACACACACATACACATACACATACATATATATACACACATACACATGACTAACCATTTGACATTATACACACGCTTTTTTTTTTCAGGCGTACAACCAATACAGCCATGACCTGGAGATGGTGTCTGCGATTCTATGCGCTGGGCTGTACCCGAACGTCGTGCAGTGTAAAAGAAGAGGGAAACGCACTGTGTTCTACACAAAAGAGTTGGGGAAAGTTGATATACACCCAGGATCAGTCAATGCGAGCGTCCATCTCTTCCCGCTTCCGTATTTGGTGTACAGCGAGAAGGTCAAGAGTACAGGCGTTTACATCCGGGACTCGACGAATATATCGGATTATGCCCTGCTTATGTTCGGCGGAAACCTTATCCCGAGCAAAACCGGGGAAGGTATAGAGATGTTGGGAGGTTATCTCCATTTCTCTGCCTCCAAGAATGTCTTGGAGCTCATCCGGGTAAGCACTTCTTCCCCGAAATCTCTGATATTTCCGTCCATTCATTCAAATGAAATGGAAACCAAAATGACATATCAAGACTTGGTATTACATTCAGAATTTCTGTTTCTGAGAAATTTCCCACCAGGAGCTCAAATTTTCGCATGGGAAATGACTTGAATGCCGTATTTCAACTGTGAGTTCCACGTTTTACATTGTTTATTGATGAGAGCTGAAAGTGTGATTTTTCCTTGTTTTTCTGTGGGGCAGAAACTGCGAGGCGAGCTAGACAAGCTACTGTACAGGAAGATAGAGGATCCGAGTTTCGACATATCAGTGGAGGGAAAAGGAGTGGTTTCAGCAGTTGTGGAGTTGTTGCATAGCCAAAACATTAGGTATTAGAAGAAACCTAGCGATCCTCTGTTTTTTTCGTTTTGAAGAGACATTTATGCGGAAGACGAGTGATCTTCCTTGTGAGAGTTCCGATTGCAATTTATAGTTTTCGGTACGTTTCAGATGCATCTCTCTGTATTAGGACTGGATACTAGTCTGTTTTCAAATAATTTGGGGTGCTCAATTTCAAACTCGAGCAACTCTGGTTCTAGGGTTTGGAACCCATCCCAAACCCGTCGTTGATGGATATCCTAGCTTCGGATACTGTGGATGTCCCAATTTTTCAGGTATCTGTGGGCAGGGATGAGGGTTCGAGGCAAGGCGAGATGAGGACCATGAAAGACAGTTTTATGGTTGAAACTCTAATTTCTTTCCTCACTGAGGTATCTATGGTTTGTCTGTCTATTCCTGGAACCGAATTCGATGGTGGTATTTCGTATGTAGTTGTTTGAGTATACAAAAATCGACTACTTTTGTCCATTTTTAGTTTTTATATTCATGTTCCAAGACAACGAACTTCGATCAGGAAGATGATCATTTACGCCCCAAGAAAAGCTTCGCCCTGAAAGATCTCTTCACGCTTCCAATGGAGAGAAAAGTTTTGCTCGACCAAAGGCGTATTTTGTTGAAGAGCAAAAGAGTAACAAACATGATACAGAAAGACTTGGGAAGCAAAGAACCATTGAGCAAAATGACGAGCAAGAACCCTAGCTTGCAGTGTGGCTTAATCGGATGACATGGGATAGATCAGACCCAAGTAGGGCTGGGCATTTAAACCCGTTACCCGCGGGTAAGCGGGTACCCGGTCTCGTGGACACCCGAAAAATGGGTATTCGGCAACTAACGAAAACGAAAACGAGTATTAAAAACTAGAATACCCGTCATATGGGTTCGGGTTCGGATTTTTTATATGAAAACAACGGGTACCCGCGGGTACCCGCATATATATTAAAATTACAAAATTAACCTTATATTTTTAATATAATTTCCAAAATACTTAGGTTATTTTTACTTTCCGTTAGAATTATATATTAGATTTTCAAGTTTTGATGGATTCAAATTCAAATTATTGTGTATTTTTTAAAATGTTTCTAGAATTCTATGTATATTATTATATTTTAAGAATTTTTAAACTTAAAAATGTATTTTTGGAATAAAATATGTATATTTTTATTGATTATTTGGTTTAATTTTATATTATTTAATATTTTCTGTACGGGTACGGATACTCGCGGGTACCCGTCTTTTAGTTATGGGTACCCGTTGGACGGGTACCCGGATATTATGAGATAGAGACATAGATAACATTTCTCTAAAACTCGCGAAGACGAAAACGAAGACGGGTATCTCTAAAAACGCGGGTATCCGACCCGTGCCCAACCCTAGACCCAAGAAAGGCCCATGGAGTTCATATTGAAACATACAGTGGGAAGCTACTACTTGCCAACTACCTCATAAATGCTCCTGGACATGCAAGGTTTCAACAACTAGTTTATTCAATTCTCTTCCCAACTACCTAATTAAATATTTGTTGTAACAACTAGTTTCTCTACTATAAATAGGTGATATCTTGTATCACTTAAAATAAAAAATAGAGACTTAAGAAAATCTGAGTTATTTCCCCTCTATCCTTATTTCGTTCTTATATCCTCTTTCGTTTCAATCTTCATTTTCTACCTTTCGTTATTCATATTCCATCTCTTCCACAAACACAAAATTCTACATGGTATCAGAGAAAGATCATTGACGCTTCTGTTCTACTCTCAGAACTCTGCTTCTACGTTTTTCATACGCTCCGCCTTGTGCAGTCATGGATTCTCAGTCCAAACTCATTCCAATCACCCTAAATGGTGACAATTATTTCTATTGGACCAAAGCAACCACAAAATGGAGAGCTCTGATACCAACTCTGCGTGAAGGCTGTTGCATATGAAGTTGCATATGCACGAGTACCATGAGATTGCTTGGATTACAAGGATAAGGGCATTAAATCACAATATGGACGTTGGGCACTTGCACACCAAGAAACAACCTCTTTACTTCATCTCCAAATCTGCCAACAACCTCATTAAATGCTGCTGCACATGCACAACTCCAACAACTAGTTCATTAATGATTGTTCTCTTTCCTTTCTCTATAAATAGCATCCTCTTGTACTAGAATGAATTATCTGAATAAGGTCTCTCTTTGTTCATTTCTTTTCTCTCCATTCCTTCTATGCTCATTCTAAACTTCTTTATGGTATTAGAGCGCTAAAATTTTGAATTTGCGCAAATTCTCTATTTGTTTTGGCAATGGAGGGATCAGATTTGAGTGTTGTGCCTGTTGTATTCAACGGTGAAAACTACTTTTATTGGTCTAAGGCTCCAAAACCATGTTATCTAGTCGCGGTTTGTGGAGTCATATTGAGGAAGGAGAATCTATCACCAACAAAGGTAAATCTCCTGAAAATGAAAACTCAAGTCAAGAAAATGACAAATGGTACCAAGAAGATCAGAAGGTGCTAGCAATTTTGCAAAGTTCTCTTGACCAGAAGATTTTACGATCATTCATCCTTGCTAATTCCGCCAAAGCTCTGTGGAATAATCTGAAGGAAGTATACTGTAATCTCTCTAATTGGTGCCATATTTTTTAAATCAAAAAGAAATTGTTCAATCTGCAGCAAAATGGAGAGCCCTTTACTAAACTCCACAGTGAGTTTAACGTGTTGTGGGCTGAATTAGAGGAGCTTCGTCCTCTTATAACTGATCTCAAGGTTCTCACGGAAAGAATGGAGCAAGACAAGGTATTTTCGTTTCTGCTCACTCTTGATAGGTCATACAACGATTTGGTCTATCATATTCTCCGCAACAAGACTCTTCCGGCATACAACGAAGTGTGTATGCTCATAAAAAGGGAAGAAGGTAGAAAGAACCTATTTGCTGTACCAAGTGAATTTGCTCACTATCATAAGACGGAGTGCTCTATGATGTACTGATTATGAGCTTTGTTCAGATACATTCGATGTATTGATACTTTCTATGCTTTTATGAGAGTATTTTATTCATTACAAGTTCTTGCATGCTAGATCTGTTATGAAATCCATGTATCATTATGAATGATACTAAACTCCCTAGTCTTGTGTCGTTATGGGAATAACGACATAATAAGACTAGTATGATGTGTGATTGATGATCACATAGATGATCATAGGTATTGGATACGATCACAATCATAGGTATTCGTTGCAGAACGGAATACTGGATTGACCCGCATGAGATTGTCACATGGACTAGAGTCATGACTAGAATCTCATATGACGGTTCCATGATTGGATCCTAAGACCTGAGATATCTACGGAATACAAAATGAGGAGTTGCGTGCTTTGATTACGTCAAACGTCCTGCGTAACAGGAGGACTATAAAGGCGTGTATCAGGTACGAAACGAATCATGTACTGGATTGTAGATAGTCAAGACGGGATTTGTACCTCTCGTAAAAGAGAGAGATATCGCTGGGTCCCTCGTGTGAGCGAGACTGTAGAAATGTGTGGCCGCACTATAGACGAACGTCGTCTATTTCAGACAGTCGAACTCAGTGAACGAGAAAGCAGTCGAATCAGATAAGGTGGCTTGTCCATGCCTTATGTTCGACATATGATATCGCGATACAAAAGGATCATCAGCCGGAATCATCACTGGAGTTCGTATGATCACGAACAAACTCTATTCGAGATAGGTAGTCATAGTGTCTTGCTAGAGACCGCCTATAACTTGTATATCCGGAATAGAGATTTCGGACTATACTGCTATATCGAATGAACCTACAGGGTCACATACGCAGGGAAGGACAAAACGCGTGAGAAAAACGACAGAAAAA